TCACAGCCTTTCTAATCACTCTGTATGCGACCCGTTTTTCTCTCGAGAAGCGTGTTGAATCTTCTCTTTGTCACCCGTGTTAATAAATTCCCCACTGATGTCTTTTGTGGGGCATGTTTCGATTCACCGTTTCGAGCCCTTTCAGTCTGACGGCTTTGGTTCTGGGAACTTTTCTTGAGCAGTTTGTTGCCGATTTCCTCGCTCTGATCTCTCTTCCCGAGTGTTGGGCCTCTTGAACTGGTTCTCTGATTTTTCTTAACTTTTATCTCATATTTTCCGTATTGTTCTTTTTGCTGTACTTTCTGGGAGGTTTTCTGAATCTTTATTTTTCAACCATTCTGTTGAATTTCCCATTACTTTCTCTCTTTCTTTCTTTTTTTTTTTTAGCATTCTGTTGTTTCATGGATACTATATAGCTTCTTACATCTCTGAGGATATCAGTGACGAATTTTTGTTTATTTTTAGTTTTCTTATCCCTGCACAGTCTCATTTTCCTCCAAGTTTGCTCCAACACCGCCCCCCCCCCGCCCCCACCCCACACACGGTTTGTTTTGGCCCTATTTCCCATGTCAGAAACTTCCCTTGGGTTTCTGGTAGACCTTGGCTATCTCCTGGGGCTGCAAAGCTGCTGGAAGTTCTGAGGGTGCAGGCGGGGCCCGTAGCCGCTGGCCTCCACTGAGGGCGAGCCAGGTGGGCCACCTGTGAGGATCCGCTGATTGCAGTCTCTGTAGCTCTTCCCCGTGGGCTGGTCATTTTCCTCCAAGAAGAGTCATCTAATCTCCTTCCTAAAGGGTAAGGGTCTGGCTGCCAGGGTTCTGGGAGGCAGGTAGGGGGACGGGACTGGCTGGCTCTGCTCAGCGCTCCTGCTGCACGCAGGCACTTCCCCCTACTTTGGCGTAGAGGCCCCGCCCACCTGTGCCTGCTGTCCCCAGTTCTTGAGATTTCTGCTCAGGTGATGTAAATCCGGTCACTGCTCATTGTCACATGACATTCTTGGGTCCGCTACGTCTGTTGCCATCTGCATTCCCACTTCCAAACCTGTGTTCTCACAGTTTCTCGGGCTGGTCTCGCTGACCCTGAGAATGTGTGTCATCCTTAAAAATCCATGTGCTGTAGTTCTACCCTGGTTTGCAGGGAGCAAAATCAGATGCGTGTGTTGGATCTGTCGTGCTAACCTGCCAAACATCAGCAACAGTCATGGCAAACGCTATGCTGCTTTCGTGTCAGTCACTGTTCTGATGCTTTGTAGGAGTCGTTTCATTTACAAGTTCGAATAACTGGTGCTTACTGAAGCTCTGAAAAACAGTCATTTGGAAACCAAGATTTCCAGATGAACCGACCGGTGTTGGTCTGTTCCTTTCACCTCTGATGAATTCGCGCAGAGGAGGGGATGGAGGCGCGTCGGAGCGCGCCCATTCTCTAACTGCCTTGCTTTCCTCTTGGGACGTCTTTCTCCACAGAGGAGCGTGCTCCAGCTGCTGCACTCCAGGAGCGAGGTGGTGCGGCAGTACATGGCCAGGCTCGTCAACGCTTTCGCGTCCCTGGCGGGAGGTAAGGCTCAGGCTTGTCCTGGGAGGGAAGAGCTAGGTCCTCCTGATGCATTTTTTTTTTCCTTCGAAAATGGGTGTTCTTCCTCGAGTGTCTTAGAGATGCTATGTTTCCTCAATTTATTCCTGTTTAAAAGGTATCTGAGGGTTTGTTTCTGTGTGTGCGTGAAAATCGGATGTTGTCTTATTGATGTAGTTTATGCCAGAGCAAATTTGTGTGCTTTTGCAGTCTCTTTTGTAAGCCTTCTGATTTTATTTTGTAAGGTTTCTGGTTTTGTAACAGTGCTTTTTAAATTGCTTTTAAGTATATAACAGGTAATGCATTTTTTCTCATTTTCTACTTAAGGCAAAATGAAGTTGGTGAAATAATTAAAGCTGATCCCAATAAACACTGCACCATTTTAATCAAAAGACTATAATCTCTTAAATCAAGAGGATCTGAAAATTCCAAAGTTAATATACCACCATTACTGAGTTCAAAACGATTTTACAAAGCGCCATTATCTTCTATAAGTCCTCATTTGTTTGCGCTCTTTTTACCAGGAATAAAAGGAGTTTTCAAATTATGACTACGTGATACTCTGAAAGTTTGTTCTTTCATTCACGTGTCATTTTTCCAGACATTTATCACAAGCCAGGGCACACGCCAGGGACCATTCACATAACACTGTTGACATTTATGTCCGAAATTAAAATTAACATCATCTATATCAAGACACCAGTCCGGAACAGGCTGGTGACAATTCAAGGCTTACTACAGGGTTCTGGGTAGGATTCCCAGCTTCTTCTCCAGGCCTTGGGCACATCTAGAAGGAGCGAGTGTGGCCAGAAAGCACCCCTTGGTGGCCTTGGTGAACACCAGCAGGCTTGTCACCCACAGGTTCTCACCCTCTTGCCCCTCGTAGACCTGGTTTTTGGGTTTAAGATTTCTGGTAAACAAAGGAGAGTGCTCCCCACAAGGACGTGGTGACGAATTACGTTTAGATGCAAAAAGAGCAGTTTCTGTCCATGAGACAGTTGATAGAAAACGACCAACTTTGCAGAAGCGCTATGTTTTAATAAGCTCTTTAGAACCTAAGATTAGAGAAAATCGACATGCGTTACATGCAGAATTTTCATAGAAAGTGGTTTGGGAGCCTGAGCTTAACTCGAGACCCGTTCTTTCCCTCTCTCACTCGCTCCTGTCACTAGGTCGCCTGTACGTCGCCCAGAGCACGAAGCTGCTGCGCGTGCTGGAGGAACGGCTGCGGGAGGAGGACAAGGACACGGCCACCCGGGAGAACGTCCTCGGGGCCTTGCAGAAGCTCAGTCTCAGGTGCTGACTGTGCAGTAGGTCACGGTGGTTCCTGGAAATTCACTTGGGGTTTTTATACGCCTCTCTTTTGTGCCTATTTAGTCTCAATGACAACTCAAGAGGCAGATGATATTTTTCAGCTAACACCGAGGACAGGTTGGGTGACTTTCCAAGACAGGGCTCTCTAATCCCCTAAGCTGTGCTGCTCAGGCTGCTTTGGATGGAGGAAGATATTTTAAGAACATTGTCTGGTGCCAGCCAGATGCTGCATCGTGCATGTCCCAGGCCACGGGCAAGGTACTCGGTGTCCACACGAATGCAGCCTGAAGGGGCCTCAGCCTTCAGGCCGTTCAGCGTCCCTGCGGGCACATAAACGAACAATCACAGCGAGTGATAGGTGGGTCTGTGGCCGTCGGGGCCGGAGCCTGCAGGTCTCTCTCCACACGTCCCGCAACACACCCTGCGGTCTCAGCCTTGGCCCTGTCGTGACCAGGACCTGCTCCCTTCAGAAAGGTAAAACCAGGCACCTCTTCCTGAACCAGGTCTGGCATCCTCCTAGAGCTAGCTTTTTTTTTTTAATGGATAACTTTATTGCGGTGTACTTTACATACCACAAAATTCACCCATTTTAAGTGTACAGCCGAGTGATTTTTAGTATATTTACAGAGTTGTGCAACTGTCACCACAATCTAATTTTCAAATATTTCCATCACCACAAAAAGAAACATCATGCCCGCCATTGCTCCTCCTTCCGAGGGCCCAGGGGACCGCTGCCCCGCTTTCTGTCCACCTACCTGTCCTGGACATTTGACGTACATGGAATCACATACGTGTGTCCTTTCGTGACCGGCTTCGTTCACTCAGCACAGTGGCGTTGAGGTTCACCTGTGTCGTAGCTGTGCCCGTCCTCTGCTCCGCTGGGCCACACCCTG